AATTATTATGGAAATACGAGCCCGTTTGGAGACCCCTTTTTTCGGCTTATCAGGCTTATCAGCCAGCTTTTTCACCAAACACGTAATTTTTACTTTCGCGTGCTGAATTGGGTAAGAAGCAGAAAAAGTAAGGTTGGAGTTACTTTTTTGGCTGTATAGGCTGAAGTTACTGTAGATGACCATTTTAACTATTTTTACATGTAATTTTTTCTTTATTTTATTAATAAAATATATTTTTAAAATATTTTTTTCTAGAATCAGCAGAATCAGCCAAAACAGCCACTTCAGCTAAAATTTCATAACTTTCAGCAGAAACAACCAAAACAGCCGATTTTTGTGCTACCAAACGGGCTCTACGTGTTATTAGGGGTTGACCTAGTTTCGCAACTAGGTCCAAACGGGTAACAAACTCAACTATTCACCCATTTGCTTGGTTTGGACTCTTCCAGAATGGGACAAGAACCAATTGGTTCTAGCTTTTTTCTTTACTTTTTTAAAATATATGCTAAGAACTAGAACCTATGCACCAGGTTGGTTCCAGTTCTGGAGTGCCATCGGTTATAAATCTTATAGGGTATGTTTGGCAAACGGCTTATCAGCCGGCTTTTAGCTTGTTTGACCCATTTTAGCTGTTTGATTGGTCAAAGAAGCTAATAATGATGTTTGGTAAATGGCTTTTAAAATTAGCTTGTTGAGTTTGAAAAGCTGAAAAAATGGATTGTTGAAGAAGCTAAGGGGGGCAGCTTATTCATTCGGCTGGTTCAATTTACACTCTATCAGCCATTTCGAAACAACCAATTTTACCAAACAGTTATCTATAATCAGCTAACATAACCAGCCGGTCAAAACAGCTAACACAACCAGCTGTTAGGAAATAGCTGACACAACCAGCTAACAACAACAGCTAACAGCCATTTGCCAAACATACCCATAATGATTCAGTTCTTATGTTATGTTGTATAAGCTTGGAGGGCTTTTCCGTTGTACCCCAATAAAAAAAGCTTGAAGGTTGTTTGTTTATTTGGAATTAGCAAAGTAATGTTGCCAATAAATTTCACGATCATTCTTAAAAAAAAATCACGACCATTCTGAACCTTTCATGATAATATTGACATCAACTGGCGGCCAGATTTGACAGAATAACTACAGGATAACAATTGGATTCAAATGCTTTTGGTAACAGGTGGTCAGTTAGGCTCTGTTTGTAATTACTTAATTTAAGTGATTGTCGCTTTTTTAAGAAAAAAACATTTATTTTATCGAACATTATCAATTTTTACATTCTCGACTTCCGCGTAGAATCTACTTTTTACTTTTTCTATTACACAAAAGCACTTATTTTACCAAACACTACCAACTTTTACTATTAACCACTTTTTCCCAAAAAGTGCTTTTATTTAAGCACAATCACTTTCAAACAAAGCCTTAGCAGTATTTTGGTAAAAACTTTTAACTCAACCATAATTTAGTAAATACTTTTTTGTTTTGCATTATTTTGGAAAAAAAACTCTTTCATTTGGCCAAAACCAAGGCCGGTCCAGAAAAAACGAGGGGCCTGTGCAACAACAAAAATCAGGCCTTTCTTTTTTTATCGTTAATAGAAATGTTATTTCAATTGAAATGGTAAATTGTTAATACGGAGTAGTAGTAATTTATTAAAAAATTATTTCAAAATAGAAGTGGCTAGTATTAACTAACAGTAATATATCCAAGAAAAAAGTATTTACGTATAAAGTTATACAGTGAAACAAAAACAATTTTAACAGCCTAAGAACCTATTAATATCACTTTGTTGAACTCAGATCACAAAATTAATTCATAAAGAACCATTACTCTCTGTTAGTTACGAATTTTACCTAGAATAGTGGAATTCTGCCATCCTAGATGCGTCTGAATCGCCGCAACAACTTAGAAATCAGGATGGTTGGAGGCTGGAGCAGAGCCTGGAGACGGAGAGTCGTCGGCACAGTGCTCGTCTTGCTCAGTCACTCGTTATGCCCTTTGGCCTATGCGCTTCCTCTTTCACAGATAGGGGTGGACCGGTTCCGGTTCGGGCCCGGTTCGGGCCTGGGCCCGGCCGGGCCTCGGTTCAGAAAAAGGAGGCCCGGGCCCGAACCGGTGGTGGGCGGTTCCGGTTCCGGTTCCGGGCCAGAACCGGGCCGGGCCACCCGGAATGTTTTTTTTTTTTTTCTTCTTCTTCTCTTAATTAACCCCCTACCCCTCCCCCTCCACCCCAAACCACCCCAAACCACCTCAAATGGCCCAAAATACCTAATCCAACCCAAAACTTAAAAAAATTTCAAAAAAAAAAAAAAAAATTAAATTCCGGCCCGAACCGGGCCCGGCCCGGCCGGGCCGGTTCACTAAACTGGAGGCCCGGGCCCGGACCGGTATACCACCGGGCCTGGAGGCCCGAACCGGAACCGAACCGGTTGACCGGGCCGGTCCGGGCCCGCACAGTAGCGGGCCGGTCCGGTTCCGGGCCGGTTGGCCCGGCCCGAGTCCATCCCTATTCACAGATTGCTACACTCGTCTCGCACCTTTTTGTTTGCTATTGGGCTGACTAGCTTTATACGGAGTAGTAGACTAGTAGTAATACTACTACTAATTTATTTTTTTGGGCCTTCCATATTTTTGGGCCCTGTGCGGTCGGACACCCTACACACCCCTGGGCCGGCCCTGGCCAAAACTGAAGTAAAATGTCCGTTATTATCCTTTTACTGTGACTCTATTTGTCTCTACTCAAGTCCCAACAGGTGATAATTATAAATTTATAACACCTACCCTTAGGATCCAGTATCACTTTTAAAACTTTTAGTATCACTTTTAAAACTGATGCTCATGTGAGTGAATATTTAAGTCATATCACAACCAGCATCGTTGCAACTCCATGTGATTCTAATTTTTTACTCAATCATGGAGGAGACAATTGTCCTTGCCTTACTAACCAATACATTAAACGTGGATGTTTTTACATATTTTAGCCCGAGTCTAGATCACAACAGACTAGACTTAAATATATCAGATCAAATCAGACTTCAATAGTTATAAAATACACAGAGGTCGGGCATTTATCATATCAGACCGGTGAAAAACATCTTAATATGTACTTGATAGACTAAATTGAAATGAACTGGACCAAGAAAAATAGAAAGAATTTTGGGAATTTTGGGTAATTCAAATATATTTCTTTGGCTAAAGGGTCAAATAGGCCCTTGAACTGACTTAAAATTTTCAATTAGCCCTTATATAGGAGGTTCTGTCCGGCCGTTTCCAATTGGGCAGTTCCCGGTGGAATTTTTTGATGAATTTTTTTGAGCATCTTCTTCATTAAGTTTAGTTTATGCATACCAAATTTCAGCTAAAAATTCAACCGGGAAGGCAATCAAATGATTTTTTGAAGATAATTGCGAAGTTAAACAACGCAGTACATTTCGGAAAATAATTTGACTGCCTTCCCGGTTGAATTTTTAGCTGAAATTAGGTATGAATAAACTAGACTTAATTAAGAAGATGCTCAAAAAATTCCATCGGGAACCGCCCCAATTAGCGACGGCCGGGCAGAACCTCCTATATAAGGGGCTAATTGAACACTTTAAATCAGTTCAAGGGCCTATTTGACCCTTTAACCTATTTATTATAAGCATGTTTCAATTTTCAGATCATATTTGATGTATTCTTTTAATATCATCCCTAAAAAATTAAACTCCGATTTTCTTAAATGTTGTTAAAGAACGATTAACTTCTATCTATATTTGAAATGATTAGTTACATATATGACATATCATATGTATTCTTAGTAAAGGGGAGAGAATTTTAAATTCGTTAATGTATTTTAGCTAACTTATCTACAACAATTGAAAAAATAAATTAATGAATTATTTAATTAGATTTAATTATCGCCAAGTACCTTGTGGTTTGATGACATCATCGGTGATCTCCCAAAGAGAAGGTCGCAGGTTCGAGTCTCATCCCGATCAAGGATGTTGATTTTTTTTTTGAGAAAAGAGGAATTTTATTGATAAATGCAAAATGGTACAAAGCGATAAAAGGAAAAGCAGTACAAAAAGGAAAAAGCGAGCAAACTAAATACAGAGCTAATCCCATGGGAAATTTCTGGATTGAGATCTTGTTCTCATATTATGGCGCCTTTTGTTCTTCTGATTCTTTCTGTAAATTTTCAATTGCGTGTTCAGGTTTTCAGTTGGCAGACAGTTATCCGCAGTTATGAAATTCGCTTTACGGCAAATTTCCCTATTGAATTTAGACTTCCTAATTTCTTCTGGGTAAGAAATAGGAGGACGACGATCACTTTCAATTGCATGTCCCAAGAAGTCATCTGTGAAGATGGAGTCATCCTATGCTCTTGATATTAACAAGAGCATATATTATAATAGATTTATGTCAGTTTAAATATTTCCAGATCCGTTCTCTTTAGCTTCACAATTTTTTTTACTTGGACTGTTTACAGTCACAGACCAGAGTCACCAAACCAGACCGGATTTGAACAGTTTTGTAATATACAGAGATCAGACATTTACTAGACCAGATCAATTCATACCAGATTAGACCAGACCAGAAATTTTCAGACCATATCATCAGTTGCATTTGATTACTTCCAAATCTACTCTAAAAGTCTCGGATATTTTCATTTGATATATTTACCTCAATTTATATTCCATAAAATTGAAGAGATGTACATGCATAGTACATAATTTGAATCTTACAAGTTGTCAAGGTTAGTCCTATACACAATACCAATAAAAAAAAGTCCTATTCACAATTAAAAAAATATTATTCTAAATCAAATATAGTAATTTTAATACTACTTTTAATTATAGCAAAAAAAGACTACATACAAATTGTGTGATTTTTTGAGGCGTACAAATTATTCATGATTTTTATAAAATATTTAGAATTTTACAGCTATTGTTTGTTATCATGGTCTAGGTCTAGCTTAATCCGGAAATGAATGTCTTCTCATTCTCAAAATATATCCAATTTGGATTAAGCGAAGATAACTAATGACAATTCTGGACCAGAACCAGATCGAAACCCAACCCATTAAGAGGCCCAACCCTCACGCCACCTTGCATTTCCACCCTTCAGGTCATTCTCCACTCACTGACTTCAGATCAGTGCATTAGCTGAGGGGAATCCCTGTTAGAAACTGGAAAGAAACCAGTACAGCGTCTTCATTCTTAAAGGTGAGCCTATTTTTATCTAGGAGAAATTGAAGAGAGAAAATCGTGCAGAGATTGCTTGTTATGTTTATTTTTAATCTCTATAGATCTATTGGGAAGCAAATTTAGGTATCAGAGTGGCATCAGTGACCGTTCAGGCATCATGTCCTCATCTTGCCTCTCCAACAATGGAGTTTGCAGGCTTACATTACTTTTATGCCCAACAACCTGATATTATTCTTTACCATTTCATACATTAGCATATGCTTTTCTTTTACTCTGATGCCTAATGTAAGAAAAACATTTTGCTGACCTATAAAGTTTGTGATGTAGTTCTTTTTTTTTGGAGTATTCTGCTGTTTCTGTAATAAAAATCTTGCTTTTGTTGGGCAGAAGATGAGTAGCTCAGACGAAGAATCAGACTTAAGTGAATCTGAGATCAATGACTACAAGGAGAAACCTTATGAAGAACTGAGGTCAGGTAAATTTAAAGTAAAAGGTCCAAATGGGTGCCTTCGATGTCCGTTTTGCGCGGGGAAGAAGAAACAAGATTACAAGTACAAGGATCTTCTTCAGCATGCTACAGGAGTCGGCAAAGGTTCTGCAAACAGAAGGTTAATACAGAAAGCAAACCACTTGGCACTGGCGCAGTACTTGGAGACAGATCTAGCAGATGAGGCTGAGCCACTACCAGAACGAGCAGTTCAACCGGTCCATGTCGCTTCTGAACAGAATAACCTGTACTGCTGGCCTTGGATAGGCATTGTTGTGAATGTATTGGAAAAAGTAACTGAGAATGCAGTAGAGGAGGAAGAGTTTTGGTTAAAGAGGTTTTCAAAATATGGGGCTCAGGAGGTGAAGATCTTCTGTGATGATAAGTCGCGCACTTCCGAACTTGCTATCAAATTCAAAAGAGATTGGACCGGTTATAAGAATGCATTGGAGTTTGAGATGGCATTTGTGGCTGACTGCTGCAGTAAGAGAGACTGGAATGCTCAAAGGTCCTCACCCGGATCAAATATATACGGTTGGTTTGCAAGAGAGGATGATTACCATTCAGATGGGGCAATCGGTTATTACCTCCGCGAGATAGGGCAGTTGAAAACCATCACTGATCTTGAACAAGAAGAAAAGATGGACAAGATCAAAGTTGTTGCTGATCTAGCAAGTGAGATTGACTTGAAGAATAAAAACCTTGATGAACTGCAGACAAGGTTCAATGAGAAGACCTTGTCCCTGAGTAGAATGCTTGAGGAAAAGGACATACTTCACCGTGCTTTTTGTGAAGGTTCTCTTTACTTTTTCTTCCCTTTTTTGACATGCGCGTGTTCTTTCAACTACATTGTTACTTTTTGGGTTGCTTGTGGAGTTATGACTCATGACTTCTGATGGATGTTGTGTTTTTTAATCCATCAATCCTTGCATGGTTTCATGAAACATCATTCTTTCATATTAATAGCACTTCTCTGAAATATATAAAATTGTGTACTTTGGTCTTTCCTCGGTATAATGGTCAAATATATTTATATTCCACAGAGTCTAGGAAGATGCAGCGTCTTGCACGGGAGCATGTCCAAAGGGTCTTACATGAACAAGAAAGTCTGAATACGGAATTGGAGAACAAGAAGAAGCAGCTTGATTCTTGGAGCAGAGAACTGAACAAGCGTGAAGTCTTGACTGAGCGTGAAAAGCAAAAACTTGAAGAGGAGAAGCAAAAGGTAAAAATGATCGATACTACTACGCCTCCTTATGTAGGGTGGGTAGACATAGTCCTGTGTGAGAACCTATTGAGAATGTACACAAACTTTTCGCTTGATAGTCATCTTATCTCGACTGCAGTTATTATTATAGAAAGCACCTTAGATTTGTACTGCATTATATTTTCATCCTAAGTTCATGAAGATTGTAGAATATATCTAAGGTCTACCACGTTTTTGGAGACATAAAGAAGAAGAATGCATGACTATATCTGTTTTTGTACTTCAGAATGATGCAAGAAACAGTTCACTTGAAATGGCCTCCGAGGAGCAGAAAAAGGCTGATGAAAATGTGTTGAGGCTTGTTGAAGAGCACAAGGTGGGTCACATTAAATTCTCATCACCCTAATTCCTCTACTAATATTATGCACATCAAGTGAATTATTACGGAGTATTTGGTAAGATAAATGCGATGTTTTGCCTATTGTATACTGCTTTGCATAGTATGGTTGGCGCCTTACATATAGTATTCTTTCGCTCTATGTTGAATCTGCAGAGGGAGAAGGATGAGGCCCTGCAAAAGATACTCAAGCTGGAGAAGGATATTGATGCCAAGCAGAAACTTGAAATGGAAATAGAAGACCTGAATGGAAAACTGGAGGTGATGAAGCATATGGGTGGGGAGGATGATGCGGCAGTGCAGGCAAAAATTAAGGAGATGAATGAGCAGTTAGAATCCAAAAGGGAGGAGATGCAAGACTTGGATGAAATGAACAGTGCTCTGCTGAAGAGGGAACGCCAGAGTAACGATGAGCTGCAAGAAGCCCGCAAAGCACTGCTGCAGGCTGATATGCTGAGTCTACGTCATTCTCATATTGGGATAAAACGAATGGGGGAAATCGACTCCAAAGTCTTCCAAAACGTCTGCAAGCAAAGGTTCTCTAGTGAGGAAGCAGATGTGAAGGCCCTTGAACTTTGCTCTCTATGGCAGGAGAAAGTGAAAGACTCCAACTGGCATCCGTTCATCATGATCCAAAAAGATGAAGACAACTATGAGGTTTGTTGCTCTTACTCATTACATTCATGAAGGTGCCCATGTTTTGTGATTGAAGATATTCATTGTCACAATTTATGTATACTTTGTGATTGCAGGAAAAGCTAAATGGGGAAGACAAAGAGCTGTGCGATCTGAAGGAGCAGTGGGGTGAAGAAATTTATAGGGCGGTCACCAAAGCCCTGGAAGAGGTGAATGAATACAACCCCAGCGGAAGGTACGTGGTCCCTGAGCTGTGGAACTTCAAAGAAGAAAGAAAGGCCACCTTGAAGGAAGTTATTGCATTCATCTTCAAACAGCTCAAGACTGGGAAGCGGAAGAGGGCTTGAATAGCCAGTGGATGGGAGGGCTTAGTGCACCCCCATATATGAATACATTATATGAATAATCTTTATGTACTTGATGTTTAAATCCTTATCAAGATTTCAGTTTCGGTAAATATCAAGATTGTGAGTCAATAGGCATGACGTTTCACGAGCAAAGAAAGAGCTGATTGAGTATGAGATGTCGTTTAAAATGAGGTGGCATGTTCACGCGTACAATTAGGGATTTAGCCATTTACGGCCTGTTTAGATGGAGTGTTGAGAAGTGTTAGTAACGGAAGTGTTAGTAAGTGTTGGCAATGGCCCGGAAGGGAAAGTAAGTGTAAGTGTTAGACATAAACTTACCTTGTTTGGGAGAGTTAAAAAATGAAGTGTTAATAACGGAAGTGTTTTAAGTAAAATTGACCATAATGTCCTCATTTTAATGCCCTTGTTTTAATCCTAGATACTCTGTATATTGTTTTAAAACCTGCTACAGTTCAAAGCTTCGAATGTTCAATTATTTTTCACAGATCTGGTATCAGTTTCCCTTCCGCCGCTACACTACCATTCTGCAGCCGACTTGAAGCCTATCAGCAACACTCTTTGCTTCTTTCACATCCCAATCCCGACGCACTTGCTCTTTCTTTCTCGGCAGTGTTCGGTTACTTTGACCGCGTATCTAGTCGGCCGTACGACCCGTACATTGGTGGACTATACTCTCACACGCGATTTATCACCAGCTTTGGCAGTTTCTAGAATCGCACCCAGCAAAGCATATTTGAATAGATGCATATAAAACACACTCTGACCTCTGGTAAATACAATATACATTAATACGTAGTATCTAGTTTGCAATATTCTCATATGTACATCATGAAACTATGAAAGAATGTTCGTATATACTTGGTATAATATAGTTACAGAGAAGGTGAGATAAGAACTAACTTGGTGGAGATGGAGAAAAAGAATCGAATGAATGTTCAGGGTGGGAAAAAACGGAAGCTGTGGGATGGCGATAGAACAACGTGAAAGGGCAAGATTAATCCAACACTTCAATACACTCCAATTTGGAGTGTTGAGAAAGTCACATATTGAGGTGTTAGGAAGGTTTCCCTTAACACTTTTATACACTTACTAACACTCCATTTTTTTTAAAATTTCTCTCCCAAACAAGTGTTAAGACTAACACCCCTTAACACTTTCATTACTAACACTCCTCAACACCTCGTCCAAACAGGCCGTTAGGGGTAGTGAGGTTGGATATCAAATACTACGTATATTGGTATATTCAGTCGACTGCTTTTCCAGTGACATCAATAACTATCATACTACGTAAGAAATAATGAAGAATGGAATACTAAAGTGAAACTTCTAAACAACCTTAGTAGATGGCCATTTCTTTGATGTAGAGTGAACACTTTTTCTACTAGAGCAGTATCCATGCGGTTTTGTTGTCCTTGACTTGTTTCAGTAACATTAAAAGAAAAAACTCCTAAATTTAATATTATTATGATTAATTAATCAATAACAAAAACCTTGAACTACATGGGCTATGTATGTGGGCGGAAAAACTACTAAAAATGAATAAATCTCTTCTAAAAAAAACCACTCGCTTTTATAAAGCTAAATTCCTAACCAACTAAACGATGTAGTTAACCATGAACGTTGTGTACTTGTGTTAGATATTAGTACACATTGGTCAAAATTAGGTTTTAATACATTTGAATCATTACAAAATATTTGCATTGTAAATTTTTGATAAGTTGGCTTTCTGAACCTAACTGCAAGATCTATCTTAGGCCCAATTTGAACCTAGAATGTCTACTTGTATATCTTGAACACGAGTTGGAAATATCTCTTAAAAAAGAGGCCATCTTTTTCCATCACATGAGTCATGAGTTCGTAGTTGAAATGTTGTTGATTAGTACAATTACGTAATTATGGTGGTGCTTAGGAGGAATTTGATTGGTTATGAATTGGAGAAATGAAATCCTCTTCAAATGATCATTTAGACTTTTAGAGCATAGAACATTCATGAAATGAACGAAACAACATAGTTGTCATACTCCAATTATCATATTTTCACCATGAAAATCTACACATTCTTAGGCTAAAGTGTAAATCGACTGTCACAAACTCACGACTATATGGATTTTTATGGTGTCCCGCAAGGATGAACATATTTATAACACTAACTGATACGTAGTATATTCTTCTGATATTGTGTTTTTAAAGATATTTCCGCAAGAATGTTTACACATTTTTATTATTGTATTATTGGTAACTAGTGTCATTTTATCAAAATTTGAGGTTTAACTAAGAGTTAATTATTTTCCAAAAAGACTTAAGAGTTAACTTCTTTATCCATAAACTCCAAATTTTGATAATTATTCGTAAATTTTAAAATTCACATCTTTCTTTTTCATCCATGGTGCTTCCTGAGTATTTTAATTAGTCCAAACGCTTTTTTTGACAGTCTGCTTAACAAAATTGCGACATAACCAAAGGCAGTACAAACACAAAAGGCAGTGAAAGCACCTGCCCTTGGTCATGTACTCATTGTTTTATGGCCACCGACCCTTCCCCAGGAGGAGCAAGTTGCTGGACTGGACTGATTGCCTAAACATCATGAAACTATGAAAGTAATGCACAAAGGAGACTTCATAAATAAACATTACGACACACATTTTAACTCAAGTGTATAATAATTATACAAAGTTATCTTCTTCAAGAACACAAGTACTTCACAATCACCTACACTGTTCTCATTTTCAACAATGTCTATTCTCCATTTTCAACTCCTAAACCATACAAGACACCAGCATACTTCTCCATTGACCCACTAAAGAAGTTCTCTTTCAACTTCCTGAAAGTGCAAGCTGTAAGCAAACTATCGGAACCAGCTTGATGGCACACACCAACTCGCTCCACTTCTAATAGCTCCGCGAGCTTGTTCAGCCCACCATGGAGGCTATTGCAGAACTTCATCAGGTGTTTGATATCAAACACAACTGGGAAATACATGTTGATCAGGGCAAAGAAGCCTGACTGTGTATCTGGCAATGGCTGGCATGTCAATATCTTGAGAAGATACCCAAAATCATACCCACTGTGGAAAGTTACCCAGTAAACACTGTCATTAAGCACAATTCCAGAAGACATGAGAAGCTCCCCGAATCTTCTTGCATCAATGCCATTCTCTGCGTTCTTCTGGAAATCAATCCCGCTCTGGCGAAGCAGCTCGATTGAATCGCTGGCAAAGACATCTTCGTTGGGATTGAACTCCCGGAAGTTGAATTGCCAGATGCAGTACTTATCTTCAGTCCCTGAGGTTGGAAGGTTACCCTTCTCGTCAGAGAATGTGAGGCCAAGCTGTATCAACTTCAACATGTCAACGTTGTTTTTAAGAGTCTGGTAATGGTAGTCGTTGCTGTTCTTGAAATTGCCTACAGGTCGAATAACAATGCCCGGAAACTCTGTGTCCATTGCGATATACGGATAATCATCCACAATTCCTCGGATTAGGGTAAACTCTTCTTCCAGATTATAATCCCACACATCTCGGATCTGGACAGAATCGCTTCTGGGCAAAAGCGACATCTTCCAGTTGACCCTATAATTGCTCACAACAAATAAACCCCAATCAATAATCGCACGAGATCTCTCTCGACAACCATAAAAACTCAGGACGTTGACAAATTCCAGAACGAATCAATTTCAAATCCGATCTGCAGCAAAAACACGGGTTCCACACAGATTTAGGAACAGAAAATCCAAATCGCAGATAACAACACACATACGAACATAAACGTGAATCGAGAAACGAGAACGGCGTGAGAGTCTTACCGTAGATTCAAAAAGGTTTGAACTTTGGACCTTAGATCGACGAAGCTCTCCAGAAACGGGCTTTGAAAATGGAATATACGAGGAAAGAAGGAAATATGAGCAGAATTGGAGGGTCTCTGTATAATTAATAAAATTGATGATTAGCCCCCTTTCGGTGCTTTCTAGAGACACGGGAGGGGCCCCTTCACAGTTTCACCTCCCTCCAAAAACAATACAATGAATGCTGTAATTTCCCCTTCTTCCAAATCTGAGCTTTCCCTTCTTGTTTGAAGAAAAAATGTCTTTGCTGCGAAAATGGGAAGCTCGCGTTCGTGTTGGGAGGATCACATAATAATTATGTTTTTTTTTTGTTTTTCACTTTTTAGGATAATTTTTGTAAAAGGCTAGGAGAAAAATACTATTAATAATTAGTTAACAATAATAAAAAGAAAGACAAAAAGAGGAGCCAAGGAGGGGAAAGCAAGTAGCAAAAAAACAAAGCTCTTCCCTCGTAAGAAAATAAAGAGAGAAAATGGTAAATATAGTTAGAGAGCAAAAGGAGATGAAGCGGAGGAAATCTAGTGGTTTGATTGAATTATAACCAATGGATTGGGGGTCGGTGAAGGGGGTGTACTCACACTTATTTAACTTTTTATTTTATACGTTTTTATTTATTTGAAAAACTTGTTTGATGAATGACACAATTTCCATACCAGATTTCACGATTGATGTTTTTAGTTAAAGTGAAATTTCATGATCTGATCTGTTATGTTTAGGTTTGATTTGAATTGATGTAGTCTGATTTGGTAAATATATAGCGTATGTATTTTTTATAATTGTTGAAATCTGGTCTAATTAGGTCTAATTTCATTTGATCTTTTTTGTATGCAAAAAACGCACTGTATGATAAGTCGAAAGGAACTGAAGGTAATGTTTGGAAACTGATCATTGTAATTTAGGTTTTCTTTTCGTTAATTCTGGTTTATTTTAGTCACAATTGGATGTCTTCTTTTTTATTTATTAAAAAAAAGACCAAGTAGTCTAGCACCAAACCATGTTCGGAACAAGTAATTCAACGTCTTCTCGTTGTTAGGTGGGCATAATTTCTACTAAAAATCTCCTAAATTGGATTGTCCTAAAGAACATGAAAAGTAAATGCTCATTATACGAAAGAACTTTAACAACTAAAGACGTTGACAAAATAAGCTCATCCTGTAACTGTAAGTAATTCATGAATTATCTGTCATGCGTTGTCAATTTTAGGTTTTCTTTTTATTATTTCTGTTTTACCTTCATAAAAATCTGTTGATTTTACCTTATTTATGTCCCATCAAAATTTATGATCATGTATTTCATGTAAAAACTGGTTAAGGTGACAAAAAGAAATAGAAATAACAATAAAAACAATGAAACTCAAACTGAAATTTTGCACCTTTGGCAAGAGTGAAACTTGGAAGTTTATATTATTGTATAAACCTTTGACTAACCAATGTTTTTTCAAGCTGCATCACCCTGCATGGAAACTCGCTATATGTTATTTTCTTCATCGTGTAAATCGTGAGTTCCAATGTTTTTTTATACTACCTCTGATGGAGTATATGGCCCAGAAACCCCCGGCCCATAGACTCCTACTTCTCCTACACAAGTCCATTGAGCCCAGGAAACAACTCAGGCCCAAATACAACGGCTCAAGCCCCAAAGTAGCCCGGAACACACACTGGGGTGCCTTCGGCCTCCTGGGCCGAAGGCTCCAAAACTCACAGGATAGCCTTCTCTGGCATAAGAAGCTACTGGGAGAAAACGACGAAAAAACATGAGCCTTCGGCATTGCCAGGCCCTCGGCATCAGAGATGCCTTCGGCTGAACCAAAGCCTTCGGTCACACAGGGCCTTCGGCTAAACAGGGTTCCTTGGTCACATGAAGCCCTCGGCTACACGAGGAGCCTTCGGCCAAACACGCTCAATCATCGAAGATTCCTTTTGGAGACAGCCAACCACCGCATTTAATGCCACGTCACATCCGCCAGCCGCATTCAATGCGGTAAACGTACCACTGCCGGTGCCAACCGGTTGATGTGACCCTTCGGCCGTTGGATTACTGACACGTGTCCTCTCATCGCATTTATTGCTGCTATAAATAGCAGCCCATTTCCTCCTTGTAAATCATCATCTACATCTCATCTACACACACTGAGTTCATTTAATAAAATCGACTCTCTCTCCTCCTATTTGCTCTGACTTCTCTCTAAGTTATTCCCGCAGTAACCCCTCGGATAAGATACCCCCCGGGTAGACTATCCATCATTTGGTGCTCTCGTTGAGAGATCTGAACAATCAAGTAAGAAACCCTCCCCCTCTACCAAACACAAAACACTTACCAAAAATGGGAAGAACCACTCGTGCCCAATCCAGGACCCTAGAGGAGAACCACGTAGCCCCCGGCGAAACTAACGGGGCTGAGGCCTCCAACAGGCTCTTAGTACCCGAGGGTGGTATCATCCTCGAATTAGAGCAAGCCACCGCTGACCTACGTCAGCAGCTGCAGAAGAACACCCCTGATGCCCGCATTGGCCTTGATAATCGAAGGAGGGATCGGAGTGAGAACCAAGTTCCCCCTCCGTCCTCGGCCATCGATCTTCAGGCTGCCTTTGCGGCCTTTGTTCAAAACATGGCTCTCAATTCCGGAGCCCTCGCCTCTCAGGCACCCCTTCAGCCCTATGCCGGAGGAAACGTTATTCAATTACCACCACTCCCTCCTTTGTTCAACAACCCTCCCCCGGGGGTTTGCAATGCCGAGGGGGTCATAGCACAGGATACCGCCTCCCAGGAGGCCCAATCCAGGGACAAGCGCCCCATGATGAAGGAGAAACCCCGAACCTCTGCACTTGAGAGGCTTGGGGGAGTTCCCGGCCGCCGAGGGGTCCAAGACCGCCTCGGCAAGCAAGAATATAGTAGGCCACATGAGAGTGGTGCCTCCGCTTCGGGAGCCGAGGGCGTGCCTCCCCCCCCCCCCCCCCCCCCCCCCGAAGCAAAGGTAAAGCCCTCCTCCATGCCGATGACGCCAGGCACCAAATCAATCAGGCGCAGTCCTTCCGGGCCAACTCCCAAGGGGTTGCCCCGAAGGATCCCAAGGACGAGATCATTGAAGCCCTCCTCCGACAACTTGAGGAGAATCGTCAGGTACCCCCGACGGCGTCCATGGTGAGGCCAGATCCAGAGTACGCTGACCTCCGGGCGCAAGTGGAAGAAATGAAGCGTAAGCTCGCCGAAGGCTCAGGCGAGCCCCTCATTCAACTCCGCACTAGAACACCCTTCACCCCAAGGGTGTTGGCGGCCAAAATCCCTCACAAATATCGGGGGCAACCCATCAAGCCGTATGAGGGGAAGACGGATCCCCAAGAGCACTATAGCCGCTATCAAAATAGCATGATGATGATGGGGGCCTCGGATGAATACTTATGCCGTTGGTTCCTTTCCACCTTGGAGGGACCCGCGTATGAGTGGTTCAACTGGTTGCCCGAAGGCAGCATTGATTCGTGGCAAGAACTTGCCCACCGCTTTCTTACGCAATTTGCCGGGAGGCACCGCTCAAAGAAACACTTCTCCCACCTCCTGAATGTCAGGCAGCAGAAGGAGGAAACCCTTCAGAGTTTCCTAGAACGCTGGAGGCAGGCCTCCCTCGAGGTCGAGGGCGCCGATGACAGAACCCTGATGGCCCTCTTCCACACCGTCCTCCGCAACGGTAACTTCTCCCGGAGCCTTATCACTGATCCCCCCCGCGATTATACGAAGGCCCTTCAGCGGGGGGACCGATATGCTGAAGCGGAGGAAATCGAGAAGGACCGCCGCAACACGGATCCTTCCCAGAAGAATGAAGGCAGAAATCGGCCCGGAGGGCCTCCCCCTCCGGCCAACCGCGAGGCCCAATATAATGATCGCCCCCGAGGTGGCCAAGCCAGAACCGGGGGAGGTTACAAGAACAATCCGAAGGCATGGGCGCAACCCGTCCTCCTTGAGCACCCACGCACTCCCTTGACGCATCCCGTCAGCGTCATTCTTGATCATGCAGAAGAGCGGGGGCTCGTTGAGCGAGACTCCCGTACACCCCTCAAGATTTATGCCATCGGTCCTGATGAGCCCTACTGCCGCTTCCACCGCCACCACGGACACAAAACCGACGATTGCCATCAACTGAAAAACGCGATTGAGAGGCTGATACAGGCGGGCCACTTGTCTCAATTTATCTGGGGCCCTCCTCCCCAGGTCCCCCTTCACCATCAAGGGCCACCGCCGAAGGCAAACAAGTGGGTGAACCCCAACACCATCCCCTTGGGAAATCCACAGGGGAAGAAACGTGAAATTGGTGGCCTCGATGACGAGGGAGAGGGTTCCCATCAACAATACAAGCGCCATATTCACATGATCAACGGCGGCAACACCGGAGGCGATTCAACAAGCCAAAGGAAGAAGTGGGCACAATCCCTTTACGTTGGGGAGGTCAGCCACGTGCCCCCAACTAAGAGGCCGAGGGGGGAACCCATCTTCTTCACAGATGCGGACCTACCCTCGGGTTCTCTGCCGCATAGAGATGCCCTCGTCATCCGCACTGAGATCAATGACGCCATCATCCTCCGGACTTATGTTGACACGGGGAGTTCTGTCAACGTCATGTATCTTAGTACTTTTCAAGAGTTGAGACTCGACAGGGGGTCCCTTCGGCACATCAACACCCCCCTCTCCGGATTCACGGGGGATAGCATAGACGCCGAAGGCGTCATCACCCTAGTGGTTGAATTCGGCGACGGGTCCCATAGAGCCAAGCTCGAAGTGGAATTCGTCGTCGTCAACCTCGACTGCGCGCACAACATCATCCTCGGCCGGCCTGCCCTCGAGGACTTAGAAGCCGTCATATCCATGAAACACCTTTGCCTCAAATTCCCTACACCCACCGGCATCGGCTATTCGAGGGGGAACCAGAAACTCTCCAGGGCCTGCTACCTTCAGCTTACCAAAAAGGTTAGTAAAACTGAGTTTCGTGTTGACACCATCACCACCAAGGCCTTGGAGGAAGAAGAAGGCAGGCCGAGGGCTGAGCCTGCCGAGGAGACCGAAGACTTGATACTCGATCCGGCCAAGCCGGAGAGAGTCCTGAAGATTGGAGCCAAGCTCCCCGAAGACCTGAAGGCTGGCATCACCAAAGCCCTCCGCACCTACTCTATTGTTTTTGCATGGGGGCCGGAGGACATGCCAGGAATTGACCGAAGGGTTATCACCCACCGCCTAGCGGTGGACCCTTCGGCCAAACCAGTGCAACAACGGAGAAGACCCCTCTCGGCCGAGAGAAGGGAATTCGTGAAGAAGGAGGTATCTATGCTCCTCTCCATCAAACACATTAAGGAGGTGAAATACCCTTCTTGGTTGGCAAACGTAGTCCTCGCACAGAAGCCTCCTACCTTCCGCATATGCGTGGACTACACAGATCTGAATAAGGCGTGCCCTATGGACCCCTTCCCTCTGCCAAACATTGATCAACTGGTGGATGAGACCGCGGGATGCGAGATCATGTCATTCCTCGACGCG